GGTTACCTGCATGGAGGTCCTCTGCAAAAGCATAAGTACTCTTAACCTTAACCTTTGAACCATCTCTCTAACCTCTGCGGCACTTTTTTTTTTTTTTTTTTTTTTTTTTTTTTTGGTTTTTCGAGACAGGGTTTCTCTGTGTAGCTTTGCGCCTTTTCCTGGAACTCACTTGGTAGCCCAGGCTGGCCTCGAACTCACAGAGATCCGCCTGGCTCTGCCTCCCGAGTGCTGGGATTAAAGGCGTGCGCCACCACCGCCCGGCCGCGGCACTTATTTTTAAGATGGGATATCACCATGTAGCCCAGATCAGCCTCACCAGCCTCCTGCTTCCGCCTCCTCCTGGGTGCTGGGATTATATACGTGCATTACCGTGTCCAATGTAATACACTATGTTTTGTTTTGTTTCTTTTTCTTCCTCTTCCTCTTCTCCTTCTCCTTCTTTTTTCTTTTTTCGAGACAGGGTTTCTTTGTGTAGCCCCGGCTGTTTTGGAACTCCCTCTGTAGACCAGGTTGGCCTCAAACTCACAGAAATCCACCTGCCTCTGCCTCCTGAGTGCTGGGATGAAAGGCATGTGCCACTACCACCCAGCATAACACACTGTGCTTTAAAGAGAAGGAAGGGTCTGGCTACGTGGCACAATGGCTAAGGAGCCTGATGCCGAGTCTGACAGACTGAGTTTAATTCTTGTGACACACACATACACACACAAATAAAATATGTCTAAACCCAAGACATCCCCTCCCATTTCATGAAGTCTGCATTTTTTTTTCAATACACCATTGAGTAAAATGAATGTTCTAGAAGGGGACCACACTAGCTCTGGTTCTGAGTGCACCTAGCATACTGCTCAGCTCCTCCTGGGATGTAGCCTCTCTAGGCTGAAAGTTTGGTGTGAATTTGTTCTGGAGCATTTGTGCTCCATGGTGGGTTAACTTTAAAGGACCATGAAGGAATTGATCCAGCTAGAAAGAACCTGATGGGTTTGGGTGTACAACATTCAGGAAGGTGGCTTTGGGAAGGAAGACCTCAATGGGGAAGGGTCCTCGGGATGGTGTGATGGTGTAAGTGAGGAGGAGGAAGGAACAAGGGGCAACTTAGACAAACTTCGGCTGATGTGCCATCTACCAAATTCCATCTTGTTGCTCAAAGGCTGAGTGAGGGGCTGGGGCTTTAGCAAGACCCACCTCGGAAGAAGAAGGCGTCTACCTAGAGCTGAGAAGCCAAGACTCGCCAAGGGAGCAGGGAAAGAAAACCTGCCCACAGCACCTGCTCTTCCTGGCTCTCAGCCTGGAGCTCTGAAAAAAGGATGAGCTGGTGACCAGGGAGACCAGGAACAGAGTGGTCCCTGGTGATACCCAGGGTGGCCAATAACCCCATGTAGCTCAGGCGAGCCCTAGGTCTTTGGAACTGCATGCTAGGCTGCAGGAAAAGTAAGAAAACAAGGTAAAGGTGAGCAAGTGGCTCCCTCCACCCAGCAGTGTCTTCCAGCCCCTGCAGAAAGCTGCTCTGTGATTCCCGCTTTATGGCCTCTGCCAAATGAAGCACAAATTTAACTACATCACTTCCCCAACAGGACAGGGGAGAGGATGGGAGTGTCGTGCTGGGCTCCTTCAGCCCCCTAATCTAATCACTGGTGTGGGTCATTTCAATTATGGACAGCAGAGAGCAGTAGGGGACGTGGCTGCTCATAAAAGCTTCATGCTGGGGCTCAGCTAATTATGAAGTTTCCACCGTCTCTGCAGGTAAATAACTCAGAACTGAGCAGTGGCAACATCCAAGGAGTCAGAGCCGGGGGGGACTGAACAGGACATAGACAAGACAGGAATAGACATAGACAAGGTGACAAGGAGAGTGAGGTGAGGCTCCTGGACAAGGGGTGGGGATTCGGAGGCTAGAAGGAGGCCCGTCCTTCCCAGAGTAAACATATATAAGAACTTGAGTCTGTCCTGGGCTGACTGTCCACCATCGAAGGACTCTGTCTTGAAGCCGCACACTCCTTTCATAGCTACTCTGTGTCACCGTGTACTCTCCTTCTTACCCTGGGAGTGAGGCCACAGGAGACTTGCTATGTAAGGAGATTTCAATGCTAAAAGGCTCAACTTCTTTTTCTACCCGCCTCTAGAATGTCTGTGAAAGGTGGTAGGGGTATCCCTTGTGTCCAGAGATACCCTCTGTCACCTCGTTATTTGCAACACAAAAGGCTGGGGCGGTAGCTTGGTTGGTAGAGTGTTTCTCTAGAATGCGCAGGGCCCTGGTTTATTCCACAGTACCATAAGAAACCAGGTGTGGTGGTGCATGCCTATAATCCCAGTATTTTGGAGGTAGAGGCAGGAGGATCAGAAGATGAATGACATCTTCAGATGAATAGCAAGCTAGAGGTGAGTCTGGGCTGCAGGAGACCCCATCTTTAAAAAAATCGAGACAACAATACAAAACAAACAAGAACAAAACAAACAGCAAACAAACCAGGTTACTAAACTCAGGAAGGTTAGCACAGCAGGCAGCTCTCTGAAAGTTATCTTGAGATGTTAGGATGAAATAGAGGCCTCTTGGCTAGCCTGGGACCTGTGCTTTTCTCTCTTTGTAGTCTAGACATCACCCTGGAGCTGTGATTTCTTAGATGGTGGGGACAGCAGATGGCAGGAGCAGTCACAGCTGGGAGAATCCCATTTTTGTTCTGTTCCTCAGTTTCCTTCCTCTCTGAAACAAAACTTATGAAGAGAATGAGCATGTGGAAGGGCTAAGCTAAAACTGTTCTGGAAGCCAGGGCTGCTGGCAATCCTGTTCCTTCCAGGGCAGAGCACACCCTCCCAAGTCCTCATAATGCTACTGCTTTGGGCTGCAGATCTGGCCCTGGGGGCGGGGGGGGGGGGGGGGCTGCCAGTTGATATCAGGGCCATGGGACTCTAGACAGAGGTAGTCTAGTTAGTGCTCAGGTTCCACCAAGGAAGGACTGCTTCTGAAAGAATGATATAAAGAGCCTGGGTAACCGGGATTGCAGTAAAGTGAGCCAGGCAGGATGTGGGATGGGAAGTCTCTTCCAGGGCCCTTCACTACAAAGGGGGCAGTTGATGGCATCTGCCCTTGATCTTTAGATTCCATAATAAGGTCACTCCTTGGGAGAAGCAGAGTCCATACTTAAGTCCTGATAGAGATTGCTAGAAATCAGACCCCACACCGAAGACTCCCGACCGGAACCTCACTCTGTTGACAGCAGGCAGGCCCCTGTTCATTTTGTCATCTATTATTGACTTTTTTAAAATGTCATTAAGTTGCCTCATTTTGCTCTCAGAACTCTGTGACATGGAGATAGTAAATATTTATAGCATCAATTTCAAGTAAGTCTAATTGTAGTCTGAGAAATGAAGTTCAAGCTTCCCTGAGTAAACAATGATGGAACCAGGACCAGAATCAGACCTCCTGGCTCTAACTCTGGCACTTTCTCCAGCATGCAGTGAGAGAGGAGGAGGAGGCTCCACAGCCATGCCTTCCTTACCTTCCCCTCTGTTGACAGAGGGAGAAAGTAGAGAAGGCCAGGATCAGTGCAGAGGCTAACACAGAGTACCATCGAGGCAGAAGAGGCCAGTGGTAGAAAGTAGGAAGTGAAGAAGGAAACAGGTGGAGTTGGCATGGACACTTCCTGTTCACAAACTTTTTTGCATTCCCCATTTCATTAACAGCAGCAGTGGAATTTCATGGACAATTGGCGTCGAGCACTAACTGGGAGGTAATGAAAGAGGGAGGCTGTTGGAATTTAAATTCTTTTTCCTCAGGGTGGGGATGGGAGGGCAGATTTTTTTTTTAAGGCAATTTTAGTCCTGGAATAGGTTCCTAGAAAACAGCTTTGGACTTTCATGGCCTGTGCTGGCAGCATCCGGGTGGATGACCGTCTCTAAGCCTTGCTCTGTCTTTCTGCCCACCAGCCTCCTGAAGATGACTACCCTCAGTGAGGGATAGAGATGGGAATGACTACCCTCAGTGAGGGATAGAGATGGGAATGACTACCCTCAGTGAGGGATAGAGATGGGAATGCCCGGGGACTGGATAGTTGACCTTGGGTAGAATTTTGTCCCTCTGACTTGGGAAAGCACATCAGATATGAGTCCATCAAGCGGTGAGCTAGAATGAAGTGCTTTGCAATTATTACTGCAGAACCCCGACACATAGAACTCTATGGACTGGGGTGGGCTAGCTATGGGAGAAAAGAGAAAGATCAAACAGAAAGCCAGAAGCCCACATTCACACTAAAGTTCAGACCAGAATCCATCTCTGTCAATTGATAGCAGGCAAGTCTCAGATTTATTTTTGTCGTTGATGATTTACTTTTCAAAATGTTGTTGAGTTATTTTGCTCTCATTATTCTATGATATGAAGAGAGTAAATATTAACAGCCCCTACTTTAAATAAGGCAAAATGAAGTCTGAGAAGTGAAGTTTAAGGTCTCCTGGGTGAACAGTGACAGAACCAGGCTCATCGTCAGGTCTGGAAGCATGTGGTCTATTGGGTAATCTCTGTCTGTCTGTCTGTCTGTACCTCTTCCTCCTCACATATACACATGCATTAAAGAGGCTATCAAATATTTAAAGGGAGAAGGACATAAGGTAATATGAGACCAAAGATAGAATGGAGGAGACAGAGCCATAGGTTGATGATCCTGGAGGAAGGAAGCTGTTTTTAGCAGGGCTCGAGGTTAAGTTGACACATAGACTGTTAAAGCAGAATATATCAAATGGAGCTGGGCATGGTGGCACAGTATGTACAATCTCAGCACTTGGAAGGTAGAGGCAGGAGTATCAAGAGTCATCCTTGGCTGCATAGTGTTCAAGGTTAGCCTAGACTACAAGAGGCGTCGCTTCAAAAATCTAAAACCGAACTTTTTTGCTTAAGCCTAAGTATGAATGGTCACTAATGGTGGTTCAGGGAAAGTGATAGCTTGCTTGTTACTGTATACTCTATTCTCTTTATACATCTTTATTATGAATATGTATGTTTACTGGTTCTGTCAATAACCAATAAGATGCTCCTCTGTGTAGTCACTGAAAAGAGACAATGGAGTCTGGGAGACATTTTTTAAACCAACTCACTCTTTCCCTTTCAATCCCTCTCCAAACACTGTTCAGCTTGCCCTAAGTGTTGTGACCCCATAGTGAGACCAGCAGTCTCCATTGTCATATGCTCCACAATGCCCAGAGAGTGCACAAGGTGACAGTATAGAGCCCCAGCACAGCAAGGTAGATTCGGAAGAGCAGCTGATCGAAGTGGTACAGGATGGCCAGCCACTCCACCTCCTTCTGGTAAACCTGATCCCGAGTTCGGAGGGAGTTGTTGATGGATTGGAGCTGGAGCCAAACTTCCTTCAGGGTATCTGGCTGAACCTGGTGCTCCTGACGGACTGGGGGCTCTGTGAGATGGAGGAAAATGCTCTAGATGAACTGGGAGCTACTTGTTCTTACTCTTTAAGGAAGGGTCTTTGCTAGAGTTGGGGACTCTCATCCTACCTGCTTAGGAGAGGCACAGCTGTGCTGAGGGAAGGCCCAGATAACATGGCAGAGCTGTACTGTGTTGAGAGGGGTGGGTGTAGGCTAAATCTATCTAGGAGATTTCCTGAGCTAGGATGGTTCTTAAACTCCTTTATATAAAGCAGACAGAACCCAACTCTTCATACTCCTCCCCACTTTTGTATTTGTAGCGTGTGTGTAATGTGATGTGTGTGTATAGTGGAATGTGTGGGATGTGGGGTGTATGTGGTGTGATGTGTGTAGTATAGTTGGATGTGTGGAATGTGTAGTGTGTGTGTGGTGTGATGTGTGTGTGTATATAGTGGGATGTGTGGTGTGTGTGTATAGTGGGAATTGTGGGATGTGGTTTGTGTGAGTGTGAGTGTGTGCACATTTGCTTATATGCCAGAATTCTACAATTTTGGAGTTCATAGCTCAGTCACTATGGTAGAAATGAAGCAAACTAGAGGTGACTGAAGACCTGACCTTCAAGCTAAAATGATCTCCAGCAGGAAGTTGCCTTCACTGTGCAAAAGAAATATCAAACATAGAACAGGGGCTGAAAAGCAGGTGTTTCCTTTTATCCACACAGTCCAGCCATGGCCTGCTGCTGCCCCAGTGGACCCAGGTGCCGACAAAGCAAACAGGATGGGGATCTCAAGGCTTCTCACAAACCTGTTGTCTCAGCACTCGGAGCCCTGGGGTACAATCCAGGCTCATCAGCATCAGCGTCTCCTCGAAGGCAAAGAAGAGGCCGTTCGTGCCCACTGTGTCGCTCCTCGTGGAGGAATTTGATCAACAAGATGGACTTGGATAAGCTGAGAACCAAAAGGGCCATGCAGACTGTAAAGAAGACCCCTGGGAAAGGACCGGAGCAGAGAAAAGGGATTTAGCAATAGTCTACCATCTACGGGCAGCATCAGATCTTGGCCAGGAGTGGTCTAGGAGGGTGTCCGGTGGCACTGGGGCTGTTTACCAATGAGAGACGTGCACCCTGCGCTCCTTGGCACCTCATCAGACATGTTGACCCTGAAGACTGTGTAGCCCACCAGCACATTGGTCTTGAACACAATTCTTGCACGGCAGTTGGGGGGCAGGTAGAAGCTCCCCAGGTCCACAAGCATCAGGAAGATGCTGGGAATCAAGAGGCTCACAACATAGGCCAATGGGCATCTGCGAATCACCACCTGGCAGAAGACAGGGAAAATGATCAGTCTAAGCAAACGGTCTAACACTTGGCTGAGTCCATAGTCCTGAAGTCCCAGCCCTGTGTGTAATGCAAAATGGCTACACAGTTTATAGTAGAAATGTATTTGAGGCAGCTGGGTGTGCTGGTAAATGCCTGTAATCTCAGAATGTGGGGAGCTGAAACAGGAGGATTGCTATGAGTGGGAAGCCAGCTTGGACTACATAACAAGACCTGTCTCCAACAACACACACACACACACACACACACACACACACACACACACATGAGGCTATTTTGTGGTTCAAAAAGATGAAAAGTTTTCACATAGACTAATAATGTTTTTTGTGTGTGTGTGTGTGTGTGTGTGGTTGTACAAAGTTGTAGATATATTAAAAGACAGGAAGAGTGCTCTAAGACCAAGGATTTCTGGCCCAAGTACAGAGTGTGTCTGTATGACTTTTGCGCACAGGCGCATGTCCATTTATACGCATGCAAAAACCAGAGCAGGATGCCAGGTGTCTTCCTTTCTCATTCTTTGCCTCATTGCCTGCTACAGGGTATCTCTCTAAACCAGAAGCTCAGTGCTTTGGCTAGGTTGGCTTGCTTGATTCTCTGGATCTGCCCATCTTTGTCCACCAATGCTGGGCTTATAACTTGGAGTTGTAGCTCAGTTGATAAAGTACCTGCCTAACATGTACAAAGCCCTGGATTCTATCCCCAAAACTGCATAAACTGGGTGTGCTGGTACACACCTGTAATCCCAGCATTTGGGAGGTAGAGGCAAGATCAAGGTCCCATCTCCAAAGTGGTGATTTCCCCTCAGAGTTGATAGTAAGACCTCTCTTGTGGTGTACATTCAATAAAGCCTGACGGGGCAAACTGGTATCCTGCTCCCTTTACTGTTGGATTTACACCAGCACACTGCTTAACAGCTCCCATTCCTTGGATTTGCCAGACAATGTGACACTTGACTACTTGCTATGTGTTAGACCCTGTGCTGGATGCTTTTACATCTATCATACCATTTATCTTATTCTCATTATCAACTTGTTGGATAGATAACATCCTCCATCTCATAGATTTTTCAAAGCACTGCACCTTTAAGTAAGTTGAGTCAGTGGCCGAGCTGTGATGTAGCCCCACATCTTCTGATCCCTGGTGCTCTTCTGCTACAGCCTAACTACAAGTCTGGATCTGCCTAGATGTGAGAGAGGAGACATGTATTTTTTTTTCTTTTTCACCTCCATGTCTTGCTCTGGGAGAAAAGTACAAAGAAATGAGCACACAGAGGAGGTATAGAGGCCAGTGATGGAGTGGGGCGGGGCAGCTTGGCTGGGGAAAATCACACACCTTGTTGATGAGAGCTGAAGCTCCCTAGGCATCAGATCTGGGAACTTGTCCCGACTCAGTGGAGCTTGGCACACCAGAGCTGTTTGGTGGATTGTAGTATGGCTGTTGTCTTCCACATTAAACAAAATTGGCTGCAAATATCTACACCAGTGCAACACACGTTGCTTTGCAATAATTCGGTTAGAACACATTTCTACCAAAGTGCAGCCAACAAGAGAAAAAAACAACACAGTGAACTATCATCAACCTGCATCGCTGTTGGGCTGTGATGGAGATAGTTGTGGGAGGTGGTGGTAGGAGGAAGGGCATTGAGTGGCCAGAGCCCCTGGGAGGTTTATGTTGTGATCCAGCTTGGGATGCTGGTGATCTGGTTTCTTAGAGTAGAGGTTGGAGGGATCATCCATCCTGATCAGGTGGGAGGAAGAAATGGGATCACCCTTGGAGACTTCATAACAGAAATTGTATGAGATAGGGTTATGGAGGAGTCTATGAGAATCACCCTAAAGAAAAGCACAAGGCATGTTGGTTAAGGGGGAAGGGCCCAGATCTGTAGTCAAGGAAATAGAGCCTATGTATGTAAATCTATGTGATCCTGTGTGGGGCAGCCAACCTCTCCCTGCCTCAATTCCTTCTTCCTTTCTTTTGTATGTGTGTGTGTAATGCATGTATATATGTGTGTTTAAGGGGGGGTTGTGTGTACATATGAATGTGTGCATGTGGAGGCCAGAGAGAAACTTTACGTGTCATTCCAGAGGAACCATCCTCATTTTTTTTAGACAGTGTCTGTCATTGGCTTGAAACTTACTAAGTAGACTAAGCTGACTAGCTAGGGAGCCCCAGGGCTCTGCCTGTCTGTACCTCCCCCGTGATGGGATTACAAGCACATGGCCACACCAGCTTTTCATGTTCTGGGGACTGAACTCAGATCCTTCTGTTTGCAAGTCAAGCACTCTACCAACCGAACTATCTCCCCAGCTCCTCTCCACTTCTTTTAAAGAAGCAGTATGCTTGTGCTTTGCCAAACATCCCAGGTACAATCAAGCTGTTGTGCTTCAAAATAGAGTTCTGATGTAACAGCACAGGTAGAGATGATTCCTCTCCACCCAGATGCAGACCTGAAACATAAATCTAGGCTGAAACCAAAGGTGAGTGGTGTGGTTCCTCAATGATCCTGATTTCCAAGGAAGTATAGATTTATCAGGTCAAAGGTTCCCAAGGTTTCAGGGGTTGAAAGAGGTCTAAGAAGAATTATGAGGTTCATTGGCTTTTGACCTGTGCATCTATACATGGTCCTGAACTTGGAAGGACCTTCACTGGATCTCAGTAGATGCTGCAAGCAGAAGGCAAAGACACAGGTAGCCCGTTAGGTAGTTAGCTTCTGCTGTGACATAAAACACAGAAACTCCCCTAGTCCATCTGTCTTACAAAACTGGAAAGCTGACTACGCCTTCTAAAACTACCTCACGTATATTCTCCTGTCTTTAGTAAGGATGTTACCATTCTTAAGAGACGCCAAGTAGTAGCACAGTTTGGGGTTTCTTCTAGAATAAAGGACCCACCTTTTTCTTTGTTTTAGAGGCAATGCCTTCTAAGGATTAAATTAATGTTCTCTACAAGCCTGGCACAGCCAAAAACAAAGACAACAACAACAACAAATGAGCTAAAAACAAAACAAACCTCTAATTTTATTTTTGCTTTCTGAAACTTTTATTGTTATCTCAGCCAATCTTCAGCTTTCTTTTTCTTTGTTCAACAGACATGGAGCAGGAAGAGGCTGCTGACACACTACTGTAAATACTAGGGGCCTAGTGCCATGAGTAGGGCAAGTCCCTGTCCTTGCCTGGTCTTAGGAGTTCAGGAGCCAGACTCTGGTGGCTGATGTTTGATAAGTCTATGGGGCAGAAAGAAACCTTGCTCCAGAATGAACCAAAACCAGAGTCCCTATCTCATTTGCATGATGCCACTAAAGACTTCCTAAGCTTAGCTGCTGCTATTCTATGCAGAGATTGAACCTAGGGCTTCCTGTATGCTAGAGAAATGCTCTACCAACTGAGCTATAGCTCCTTGGGCAGATCGTGATATCTATGACAGATACCAAGAGCCTTTCTTTCTTTTTTTTTTGTTTTTTGTTTTGTTTTTCAAGACAGAAGCCAGCCTGGTCTACAGAGCGAGATCCAAGAGCCTTTCTTATTCATCTTTGTACTTTATATGTCTGTCATTGTCCTTGTTAGCTTAAATAGTCAATTTGACACAGCCTAGAGTCATCTGAGTGTAAAACCTTGACTGAGGAAATGTCTAGATCAGGTTGGTCTATGGGAATGTCTGTGGGAGATTGTCTTGATTATTGCTTGATGCAGGAGGGCCCTGTCCATTGTGGGTGGCACCATCCCTAGGCAGGTGGTCCTGGGCTGTATAAGAAAACTAAGCATGAGCCTGGGATTAAACAAACTAGAGAGCAAGCCAGCAAGCAGAGTTCCTCTATGGTTTCTGCTTTAGTTTCCTGCCTTGAGTTCCTACCCTGACTTCCTTTGATGATAGATTGCAACCTGGAAGTATGAGCCAAATAAACCCTTTCCTTCCCAGGAGGCTTTTGGTCGCAGTACTTTGCCCCAGCAACAGAGATCAAACTCTAACAATCATTGATGCTTAGAAGATGTTCACTGAGCTACATCAGAATCTGCTAATAATGCGACTTTTAGCTTCAATAGACTGGAGATATGAGATTAGCCCAAATTGGGGAGAGGCATGCCATTGGGTCAGTCTTCATATGGGCCTCCTCTCATAGATCACATGAGAGCTAATGACTCCTGCTTCTGCTCAGAGGAATGTGTCACCTGCTCAGTGTGACACTGTTCTCTGTAAGCCTGCCCTACCCAGAGCCCATCATTCCTAATGGACTAGAGGAGCTGGTGCCTTTAAATTCCACAGAAAAGGAAGAAAAAGCACTTTAGTTTCAGCCCGTGTTCTCCATTAGACACCCTTCAGGTGTTAGCAATATTATGCCACAATTTCATTATCCATTAAAGCCAGGTAATAATAAGTACACAAAGGTATTTGGAGCCTATTGATGTTAATGAAAGAGATCAATCTAATTCAGAATGTGTGTGTGGAGAGCTCCTTGGAGATGGAATAGGCCCCAAGGTTAGCCTCTAATTGCCTCCTTGATGGTAGACCCCACCAGTACTCAATTTTGCATGACCGTCTTTATGACATACTTGGAATTTTGACGCCCAGACTCATGCTCCATACAGAAGCCCATTTTCCTCCCCTCCCAAGTCCCTCCTAACACCCCTGGTTCAGAAGGAATGGGAAAGTTGTTGCCATTTAAGTGAGAGCCTTATACCAGAGTGAGGGCTTTGGGGATGTAGATTGTGGGTTGGGCTGGATTAACAGAAAGTTTGTGATTCCTGTATTCCTTGAGCAACCTTAGGATGATTCTAGAGTTTAAGATTTTCCCCCTCCCTCCCTCCCTCCTTCCCTCTCCTTCCCTTCTCCTCCTTGGAAGGCTATCCTGTCAAGTATGAGCTGCATTCACATTATTGATCAAGAGTTTTTGAAGGACATCAGAATGGATTCAATGGAAACCTCAATAAATTGCCCTAATCTAGAAAAGACATAAGAATCATGATAGAAAAGAGATTGAGCAAGGCGTCTCTCTTTCTCAAATCTCCTTTTCATTTCCTCAGTACTCTGTGAGTTTCCAGTGCCTGGTGAGTCCCTCACTCATTGTCAGTGTATCTTGATTGGCCCTTTCCATTCAAAATGACTTGTAGATTTTCTCCCTACCTCTGCCCACTCCTGCAAGGTCATACAGAAACTGAATGTCCATCCTGCTGTTTTCTGGGAACCAGCACCTCCAATAATGTATTGGAAGAAATCTCCCCTCCTATGGCTGTTGGATTGGGTCCCAGGCTGTACACAAACATCCTTGCAGAGAGAAGAGCTTTGTCTAGGCCCCCTATGGAATGTAGTTGGATTGTAAACCATCAGTGGTACCCTGTGATAAGCAGCATGTGTCCAAGCACCAGTGACTGTGATTGTGTTAGCTGGAGCTAATGGTATCCCAAACATTTGATGCCAGATAAATGGTAGCCGTTTGTGTTAGCATGGGATGATGCTGTGTTTTGAAGAGGATGTTGTCTCTCTTGCCTGCTCCAACTATCCCAGCTTTGGTCTGGGACACAGCAGGTGATTAGATTAAGAGGAAGATGGTCCTTTACCATCAGGACACCAGCAAGCACACTGTTGGCACAGAGTTGGACTCCAAATGATACAACACTGACCAAGGGCTTTTGAATGACACCAGGATACCTTGGGTGCTAAATGCTGAATGTCTCCTATGGTATGAAAACAATGAAGCCAGGAATGGGGCACGTGGCAGCCATGGGGAAGGTGTGGAGGTTGGGAGATGGAAACCAGTGAGTGTTCTGGAACATGAGAGTCTTTCCAGCGTGCCTCTGTAGAAACACCATAACAGAGAGGAATGTGGTGATGAAGAGGGCAAAGGAACTGGACCATGGTTCCTACATGGAGGGATGCCTCCCATGAAGCAGTGCTTACCTTCTCTCCTATTCCAAATGGACCCAGCTGCTCTCAAGAAGACAAGCTACTATATAGGAGAAGGGATGACACGTAATTGCAGAGGGAGAGAGAGAGAGAGAGAGAGAGCGCACACAGGGATATAGCCATGCTCACACCTCACACTAACGTTTCCCGCCACCTCTTGCCTTTGTCTGTCTCCGTGCAGTGTAGGTAATGATGTGTGCAGCACTCTGTGGAGCGCTTGGTAGGTGACTGGTTCCACCTTGCGCGTGCCGTTCCCTCACGTTTCCCTTTAATGCTCTCCATTATTTGGGCTGCATTAATAATGTTTGCAGGCTGATATCTTTAAAATTAATGAGGTGTTTACTCTTAGCCAAGAAACTCATTGAAATTTAAAAAAAAAAAAAAAAAAAAAAAAAAAGCTTTCTTCCCCCCTACTCTCTTTCTCTTACTGAAAACAAGTGGACAAGAACTAGGGATGTGGCTCAAGGGTAGAGTGCCTGCCTAGTGCGAGCAAGGTCCCTGTCTGAGCCCTAGGATCACAAAACAAAGAAGAAAGAGTGGGCAGGCAGGCCACAGGCCACAGTGAACACCTCGTTGAATTCTAAGTTAGAAAGAATTCCAGTCCCAAATCCCCTGCTTCACAGGCATGTTTTTTGATGGGCTGCTAACAAACAGGTAGCTGTGAGGGAGGCTCCAACCCCAGTGCTTAAGGCTCTGGTTTAATGGGAGTTCTTCTAGAAAACATACACCTTTCAGCCAATGGAGGCCACTCATGCCCCTCAGGAACAGCTAATCTCACTCTGCACCAGCCCTCAATCTTGTCTGCAGGCACCTCATTCCCAAGGCCTGATTCTGGAGGAATCCATGTCACCTGCACTCCTGACCTGTTTGCAGTTTCTAATTTTCAACTGGATTCATTCTTTGTCATGAATACCACCCTCTCACCCTGTCACCAATACCACCTTCACGTTGTGGAGTGAAGCAGGGCTCTCTGCCGAATTCTAGCACTGAGAGTCTATTGCTGATGTGAACCTTCCCGTGACCACGGCAGAGTGGTTTGCCAGGAAAGCCAGAGGAGCAGAAGCTTGGCAGGAAAAGTGGTGAGCACCACTGTCCTTCTCCCAGAGCCCCTCAAGCCAGATAAATTTCTCTGGGCTCCGTTTGGCCAAGAGCACTCCCAGGGGTGTATCAGGGCATCATGGGTTCCACCATGCCCTGGTTAGCAGCTGTTCCCTCTGACCCTGAAGCCACAAGTACCTTGCTTGTTCTGTGTCTGTCAGTTTGTCTGTCTTCCTTCCTTCCTTCTTTCCTTCCTTCCTACCTCCCTCCCTTCCTCTCCTCTTTCTTTCTCATTTTTCTCCCTCCTTACCTCCCTCCCTCTCCTTTCCTTTTTTTTTGTCTTTTTATGAAATAGGATCTCATGCAGCCCAGACAGGCCTCCATCCCCCTAGTGCTGGTATCACAGGTGTGAGGCGCCATGCTTGGTGTATGTGTGCCAGTGATCCGCCCCAGGGATCCATGTAAGTTACCAACTCAGCTACATCCCCGGGCCTACTCGTTGTTTCTGTGGGTCATGCAGATGACTATCGGGTCATCCTTTCAGATATTCCAGTTAGTGATATGATCATTTTATGCATCTGCATCTGAAATTAATTGATAATTTTCTCAATTAAAAATGGGACAATTATGCTGATGAGACATTTTTTTGTTTTGTTTTGTTTCCAATTCATTGTAATGCTGATGGTGTGTACATCGCTTTGGGCTTTATTCTCAGTGGCAATTAGAAGTGATAACGTTTGTGTAAGCCAAAAGGTTTGAAGACTTCTGCTGTGAGGTGAGCCAGATCTCTGGAGTTCTGGACACCACTCTATCTGATTGCCTTGTAAATTATGGTGGTAGCTCGGTAGCTCAGGATCTCTGCTCTCAAATACTGCAGCACAGGGGAATGGGCAGAGCCATCTCCACACACTGTTCTCAGGTGACAATGACAATATGCAATAGAGCAGATTCCACGGCTCAATAGTGAAGGCCACGGACTGCAGAGCCGTGGGTAACAGGTAGGAAGGAGAACCTACGTTAAACCGAATCTGAGCGAAGTTTCCAACGCTGCTCCGCAGGATGTGGTATGTGGAGGACACTGACAGAAGTTGCCACTCACTGTCATTCAGAAACACCCGTTTGTCATTCTCGATGTCTTCTCTATTTCTCAGGAAGCCCAGGTCTATGTCTTCCACTAAAAAATAACAGTAACAATGGACTTCTAGGGGGAGAAACAGGAGCCAGCATCCCCCCACTTTCCCAACCCCAATTTGAGCCCTTCCTTTTATCCTGACTCACATACAGTATTATCAGTATTTGAGTTAGAGAGTAGAGGTGGGGGACAAAAATATTCCTAATCTTTTATTAGACTATCAATTTAGAATTGGAGCCTGCTCTCCACAGTGTATGAAGAGTGTCCTGTAGCTTTTAGAACATTCTCAGTGGTGATAGAATCCTGATATCATAATGACAAATTAACAGCTCTGGTGGGTTATAGCATTGTACCTTGTCTGAGTTCTAGAAACACCCACTACCACAAGACATTTTTCTTTTGAGGCAGAGTCTCATGTGTTCCAGCTAAACTAAAGCTCTCTCTATAACCAAGAATGATCTTGAATTTCTGATCCTCCTGCCTCCACCTCCAAAGTGATGCTGGGATTTCAAGCATGTACTACCACATCCATCTAAAGTTTAGATTTTTAAACAATCATGTGTAAGAGTAAAATAGATCTGAAGTTAATATCATTTCACCTATGTATGCCCACACAGCATAGGTATTCCCAGCAGACTGTGTCTCTTGTGGTTTATTTACCTGTATGCAGCATGCTATTGAAGGTGAGACTGCAATTCTGGATATCAAAGGGAAAAGCATACGTCTGCAAACTGCATGCAGAGACCACCTGGATGGGCTTGTGGTTACTAATGGTTCCAGAGGAGTTCACATATACATAGGGAAGGTCAGGAGATCTTTCAAGGTCCACACTATATGAAACATAAGAAAACCTGTTATGGAGAGGACCTTAGTTATTTCCAAACACACACAGAACTGACTATGAGGTGGTAATGGCCATGAGACTCAAAGCTAGACTTAAGAAAAAAAGGATAGAGTATTTACCATGAGATGACTCTCCTTGACACACACTCTCAGAAATGACAAGTCTCATCAACTAACTCACCTGCTACAGCTACAACATAAACAGTAACTCCAAGCACCAGTAATCAAATATGTATCTTTTTCTAAAGTATTTTATCTTAAATTATATGTATATAGGGATAGTGTGCTCACATGAGTGCAGGTGCCCACAGAGACTAGAAAGGGGTACCAGATCCCCAGGAGCTGAGTTATAAGAGGTTATGAGCTACCCAATGTAGGTGCTGGGAACTGAACCCCTGGTCCTCTGGAAAAGCAGTCTCTCCAGCCTTCAAATCTGTATCTTAAATGGTGTCAACTCATGGCAATCCCATCCTGAATATTCCCAGTAGTATGACCCCAGTAACCAGAGAAAATGAAAAGTATAACAACAACGACTGGAATTAAATGGCGTTTGGCCTGAACAGGTGAACAATCCAAAGATCACAGAAATACACCCCAGAACACTCACAACTCATTGATGATGATATCAGGGGCCCAGATGGCACTGAGAGGGAGAGAGATTTCTTGAATCTCATCAAACAGGCTAGAGTTCCAGGACAAAAACTCATCATTCCAAACCTGTTAGGAGTAGCCAAGTGGGAAACAACATGAGAAAGCTTAAGTGCACTGATGTAACTGAGTACTGATCCAATTCATCAGCCTCATGATGTACTCTACTGGGGGAAGGAAATCCTGTCTATGGTTCCGTCCTTGCATGGATTCTGATAAACTAGGCCTGCTCTGAGCTAAAGGACTATGCCTAAAGGCAGTACCTCCACCTTAGAATATCCACGTTTTGCCGTAGATCCCCATCAGGAACCCAGCATGCACAGAGGGAAGGAGAATCAGTTACCTCTCGGTACCACACACTTGTCTTTAATTTTTGATTCTGTACATCCTGCAGAGAGAAAAAAAATAGAACATCCACACAGAATCTGAGCACATGAGCAAGCAAAGGCAAGTTCAAGAGCATCCCCGCGAAATCTCAGCACATCAATTATCAGAGGCAAGCGCAACCATCTGACAATTTAAGAGGGAGGAAAATCAAACGCAACCAACAAATGCTGATTTTAAAAACATTGCCTAGCTTCCTTGATACCCGAGTATTCTCAGTTCCCGCTTATCATGCACACCTGTGGCTTTGAATGTTGCTCTATTATCCAGGACAAAATAGCACTCTAACTGCACTTAACATTTTGAGTGATTTTCTAATCTCTTTTCCTGCTCTAATTAGTTACTCTGTCATTAATCAAACTAAAAAAAAAAAAAATGATATGTAAGTCTTAGCCAATATTGAGCTGAAAAGATGAGACCAAACTTCTACTTCTAATCAAGATATTATTCATAATCTTTCAATGAAATCTATCTGCACTGACACATGCAGCCATTTCTGTTAAGTTACTTTGTGTTTAAATTTATCTGCTTATGAAACAGACTGATGAGCTCAATATAGGTGAGGTGTACTTCCTTGGCAACAGATGTGATTTTCCACGTCCGCAATAACTCGGTGAATTTTTTTTTAATTAAAGAACGTATTTTATGCGTATGAGACTTACACCTTCATGTATATCTGTGCACCATGTTCATGCCTGATGCCCGTGGAAGCCAGAAAAGGACATTGGACTCCCTGAAATTGAAGCTACAGACGACTGTGACCTACCATGTGGGTGATGGAAATCGAACCCAGATCCTTTGGAAGAGCAGCCAGTGTTCTTAACCATTGAGTCACCTCCCAAGCCCCTTGGTGATTTTTTTTGTTAAGGATCCTCCCCAAACACCAGATGATGTGGAATATTAGTTGAAGATGTGTTATATTTGTTTTTGCTGTGGAACAGTTGTTTAATGATAAAAAGATGTGTTACATTCTTTTATGTCATATTTGTTTAACTCTGTGAAGCTGTGTTACTTTGCGTCTCTAAAACACCTTATTGGTCTGATAAAGAGCTAACTGGCCAATAACTAGGTAGAGTGGAATAGGCAGGGCTGTATACAGAGAGAATAAATAGGAGGAGAAATCTGGAAAGAGGGTTTGGTTCAAGAAACAAGAAAAGGAGGAGAGGAGAATTCCAGGGGCCAGCCACTCAGCTACACAGCAAGTCATGGAGAAAGAAGTAAAGAAAGGTGTATAGACTAGAGAGAGAAAAATAAAAGTCTAGAGGCAAAAGATAGATGGGATAACTTAAGTTAAGAGAAGCTGATTAGAAATAAGTCAAGCTCAGGCTGGGCATTCATAAGAAAGAATAAGACTCTGTGTGGTTATTTGGGAGCTGGGTGGTGGGCCCCTCAAAGAGTAAAGAGTAAAAATAACCAACGACAAGCAACAGCAGTAACAACAAAACTGTTTTTACCAAGACTTTTCATATCTAACCTAGTAGAGGACATTCCAAAAATAAGATGTTCTTGGGGATTAAAAGAGAAGGATTATTTCATCCATATAGTATCTAACAACTATTAACTATAAAAATGAATCCCTGCTGTGGATATCGCTCTGTATAAATAAAATGCTGATTGGCTAGTAGCCAGGCAGGAAGTATAGGCAGGACAAGCAGAGAAGAGAATTCTGGGAAGTGGAAGGATGAGGCGGAGAGACGCTGCCAGCTGCCACCATGAGTACCAACATGTAAGATACTGGTAATCCACGAGCCATGTGGCAAGGTATAGATTTATAGAAATGGGTTAATTTAAGATATAAGAACAGCTAGCTAGAAGCCTGAGCCATTAGGCCAAACAGTTTAAATAATATAAGCGTCTGTGTATTTATTTTATAAGTGGGCTGCAGGACTGCAGGGGCTTGGCAGGACCTGGAGAGAGGCTCTCCATCTACAAATCACAAGCCTGAATGTTGGAGCTAAGACTAAAAACCGCAGACTCTTGGGGCTTTGAATTAAGCAATGTTTTCTTAGATATGAGAGCAGAAGCAACAAATGAAAAAAGTGAGATTTTTATCAAAATTAAAAACTTTTGTGTGGGATAGAGAGATGGTTCAGCAGTTAAGAGCACTTGCTGTTCTTGCAGAGGACCTGAGTTTGGTTCCCATATCTACATCTGGCAGCTCACAACCACATGTGACTACAGTTTCTAGAGCTCTGATGGCCTTTTCTGGCCTGCATAAACACCTGCACACATGCAGACGTGCAGGCACACACACATACATAAAAATAAAAATAAATACTCTAGGACTGGAGGGATGGATCAACAGTTAAGAGAGCTTGTTGCTCTTCCAGAGGACCCAGTTCCAGGATCTAACACCCACTTCTGGATTCTGAGGGCATCGTGTACATGTGGTGCGTGGACATATGTGCAGGCAAATACCTGTACACTTTAAATAAGATTAAAATTTTTTTAAATTTATAAAGGCAAACAAAGTTGACAAAATGAGGCATTATAACATTTAAATATCATTATCATCATCATTTTTATTATTGTGTGTGTTGTGTGGGCATGCATATACCATGGCACACGTGTTGAAGTCAAAGAACAACTTTCCATAGTCAGTTCTTGTCTTCCACTGTGAGTTCTGGGGGTGGAACAAGTGCTCTGACCCACTGAGCCCATCTCACCAGCCCCAAGATGTTACAACACATACCAAAGAAACACAAACACAAACACTCCTAAGAGACTCTATGAACAACTGCATACCACAGTATAGGAACACCTAGGGCAGATGGGTGCATTGCCAAACAAAGTATCAAAGGTGAACCACAAGCTCACCAAAACCTAATTAGAGTAGCGCTTGGCGATCCACTCCTTGTGGTCCCATCACTTGCAAGGCAGAGATAGGAGGACCCAGTATTCAAAGTCCTCCTCAGCTGTGTAAGTAGCTTAAGGCTTGCCTAAAGTATGTGAGACCATACTCAGGCTTTAAAACTTAATCAGGGAGCTGGAGAAATAGCTTAGTGGTTGAAAGCACTCTTGCAGAGGACCTGAGTTCAGTTCCTTCTGCCCCATCTCCACAGTGCTGGGATTACAGGCATGCACCACCATGCCCAGTTTAAGCCAGGGTGAGAAAAAGAACAACCCAGGGCTTCCTGCACACTAAGTAAGCATTCCTCAGCTGAGCCACCTCCCAAGCCCTAAAGGAAACACAATGAACTTTTGGGATCTAAGTTTCCCCTTTTACAGTCAAGAAAGTGGGTTGTTACCGAATATGCATCTCTAGGTACAGTGGGAAAGAAGAAAGTGAGCAGACAAGGAGCCCTGTCTCCAGGCTCCACAAAGGCTGTTTTGAACTCACTGGTTCTACAGATTTTTATGGACTTTAAATAGATACTTGAGAGAGGCAGGTTTTTAAAGTGGTATGCAAAGTGAAAAGATTGAATTCACAAATATTTCCCCAAGGAACAGCTTGTAGAAGGACCAGTGGGGACCCCCAGCCAAGATTGGCTCAGCGGGGGGTTCTGGAAGTTTGGTTGTTTTTGTTTTTTGTTTTTAAGTCTTCTATTGAGAGCACAAGATTAGAGGATACCACTTACTTCACTTCTTTGGGAAACGTATGAGCCAAGTGATTATAGAATAGGTCATGCCTTACTCACCCAAGTAATGCTAGGCTTAGTTACAATCAATGAGGATTCCCTACAAATACTATTTTTAAAACATCCAACATGCAGTTTATACTAAGGGAAACAAAGCCGTTAACTATGCTCACGGGAATACTTTTTTTTTTATTTTAAAATTACATTTATGTTTCTGTGTCTATGTACACCCACGCATGTGCCGTAGTGTGAGTGCGGAGGTCAGAGGGCAACCTCAGGACTGGGTTTTCTCCTTTGTAGATTCTGAGGCTGGAACTCAGTTCCTCAGGCTTGGAGGCAAGCTCCTTTACCTGCTGAGGATCTCGCAGGAATATGATCTTCGTTTCAGCAACTCCTTTGTTGTTCCTGACTTCTCCGTCACTGTCTTAGCACCCTATAAACGTCTCATTGATCCGGATAGCTGGGAAGAGGGTCTCTCTGTTCCGATGCCTCCTTTGATCCAGCTGACCATGATTGCCAGCCATATTGATACTTTCTCTCGTTTCTCTCTTCCTGCCTATTGCTTTGTTGTTTTATACCTACAAATGATGTTTACACAATTCTTTTTGTCCTAGAATTTTATGGGGGTGGCTAGGAAGATTCATCATTCAGTCCTAAAGAATGCAATGTCAAAAAGTAGTTTGAGGCTAAAACTAACAATCTTTTTTTTTTTCCAAAGAAACAAGTTTCCCAATGCCAGCTGGTGAGTGTAATTGGTTCTCTGGTGGCATTATTCACAGCTTTTCCCTCTGCGTGCCTCTCTTTTTTTTCTTTCGATACCTTCCATCTTGCTTGTTAAAGCAAAGGATATTTCCGAGAATTGGAATTCATTAGTCTTCCTAACAGAGGGAGTCTATTTAGATCTAAATTGGTGGTTAGCAAATATACAGATAATTCCCTCACATTCTTATTTATCTTTCCTAGTTCCGGAGACTATGGAAACAGATGCCTGAACGTCTGGCTGGGAGGCTCCAGTCAATGGACTGGAATACAAAGGTATCCGGGATTCAGAATTGACAAAACTCAATAGAAACAAATTGAAACTCTTCCCTGTTGAGTAGATTATCTCTATAATCAGATTTCCCTAAGGTACTCATAATACTCAGAAATTCGAAGACAAGACTGTAGGCTTTTCCATAAACAAAACAGGAGGCAAAACATGAGAAGGGAGACGAGGGGCTGTGATGGGAGCCGGGCTGGGAGTTCTTCATTCAAACACAAGTTGCTAGCAGTACAGCTGCTGGCAGAGGCAGCCGACAAGCTCGCTGTTCACAGTGGGAGCATCCTAGTCTGGACAGAAGCTGAGCGATTTTATCAGATCCTTCAGAACTGTTCCTAGGGTTGCAACTCACTTCGTCTGGCTCTTCTAAATATAATAGTGAGATTTGTAAAGTGCCTCTGGAATAACCTGGTCATCCATAGAGATAAACTTAGAATTAGTGTTTTTTAATTCACTAGCTATTTTACAGTATTGATCGAGCATCTTGGAAGTAAAATATACTGCAATGCATGTGGTGGGAAATAAGAATACAAGCAGCAAAGACCTTCTGTCAAGAAACTTATAACAAATTAGAGAATGTATAGATGTAGTGACCCATGCTATAACCCTAGAACTCAAAGGGGTGGGTGTTGGAACAGCTCAGTTCAGGAAAGTGCTTGTCTGGTTGTCATATAATTTCTGTCAACTTGACACAAACCTGGGCATGAGAAGGGGGGAATTTCAGCTGAGGAAATGCCTCCATCAGATTGGTCTGTGGACATATCTGGGGGAGTGTTTTCTTAATTGCTAATTGATAAAGGAGGGTCCAACCCACTTTGGGTGGTACCATCCCTGGACAGGTGGGCCTGGGCTGTGTAAGAAAGATAACTGAGCTAGGCATGATGGAGCATGCCTTTAAACTCAGCACCAGGAGTCAGAACCCGTTCTACATAGTGAGTTCCAGGACAGCTAGAGCTGTGCAGTGAGATCTTGTCTAAAAAAAAAAAAAAACAAGTAGAAGAAGAAGAGAGAAGACAAGAGAAGAAAAGAAAGAGGAGAAAAGGGAGAAAAGGAAGAGGAGAAGGAAAACTGAGCAAGCCAGGCAAAGCAATCTAGTAAGCCTCGGCTCCTGCCTCCATGCTCCGGCCTCCATGCTCCTGCCTCCATGTTCCTGCCTCCATGTTCCTGCCTTGACTTCCCTTCTTGTTGGGCTATAATCTATAAGCCCAACAAACTCTTTCCTCCCCAAGTTGTCTTTGGTCAATGTTTTATCACAGCAACAAAAAGGATGCTTGTGAACATAAAGACCTGAGTTCGATCCCCCAGAACCTATGTTTGAAAAAAAAAATGCGGGCTGGAGAGTTGGCTCAGGGCTTAAGAGCACTGGCTGCTCTTCCAGAGGAACCAGGTTCAGTTCCCAGCATCCACATGGCAGCTCACAACTGTCTGTAACTTCAGTTCCAGGGAATCTGACACCTTTATACCAATGCACATAAAATAAATTTAAATAAATTATATTAAAAAAATGCTAGAAGCAATGGCTTGCACTTATAATCCAAGAGCTATGGAGGCAGAGGCAGGTGGGTTCCTAGGGCTTATCGGTGAGCCAACCTAGCCTACTTGATGAGTTCCAGATCAGAGAGACTCTGCTTTAAAAAGAAAGCAGATAAAGTGACGGCATTTGAGGAATGATAGACAGCTGGGCACCTGTGAGATGATGCCTGCCACAAAGCTGGGACCCACATAACAGAGAGAACTGACTTACACTTGCACATTGTGGCTCAAACACACACACACACACACACACACACACACACACACACACACACGCGCACGCACACGCACACGCACACAGAGAGAGAGAGAATGAATAAATAAAAACATAATTCTTACATAAGGAATGGCAGTGAGGTTGCTACCTGGCTTCCACAGGCATCCACAGCACCCACACACAGATTTGCATGCATGAACATGCTTGAACATACACATGCAAAAGAAAATTTACTCTATCTAATCATGAGATACACGTAACCTAGTCTAGTAACAAGCAAGTATGTGTTACAACATGGGGCGGGGGACCCGTATCTTCAGTGTTTTCCTTACCTACAATAATAATAGGACTTTGCTTGCTTTTACCAAGGCAGGAAGAGTTAGACTTTAAAAGTTCGACTTGACATGCTGGTTCCAAGGGAGAATATTAATCTAAAGACTTTATTTCTTTTCTATATTTATCTCTGAGTAAGTCTCTGAAGTCAAAGCTGAGCAGTTCTACTTTATCTTAATCAATAAAAAAAAATCAGAAGAAGAAGGTGAAGGAAGCAGCTGAGAGCCGTCCTAACCCCTTCTCAGGGCTCATTATCCCCCTGCTCTGGGGGCCCATAGCATAGCATAGCTCTTGTTGTGTGCCATTTATTTATTTGTTTGTATCTGTTGAGATAGAATTTCTTGCCATCTCTCAGGTTGGCTTCACACTCACAGAAATCCTCCTGCTTCAGCCTCCTGAGTGCTGAGATCACGGGTGTACACTACCCTGGCACTCATATCGTGTGTCTTTATTAGGATCATGTTTAACACTAGACTTTAGGAAGCAGGATGGCTATAGTAGCCCACCGATGACTACAGGGTGAGAAACTCAATCTCTCCTAGCCAGGAAGTGTCAGCCACAAGAAATTAAGTCTCCAAAATTCTAGTTCAATATCCAATTAAAAAGAGACTTTAAAAAAGAGACCTTAAAGGGGTTATCTATTAGAAGTGTGTGACACTAGGCCTTTTATGTGGCCTAACTCCTGGCATAAAATTAAACAGTCCCAGCTAAGATCATAGGCTGGTACTTCTGCTATCTTATGGGAAAGTCAAACTGAGAAAAATGAAATTTGAGGGCTGGAGGGATGGCTCAGAGGGTTAGTGCAGGTGTTGCTCTTCCAGAGGACTTGGGTTCGATTTCCCTCACCCACATGGTGGCTCATAAGTGTCTATAACTCTGGTTCCAGAGGATCAGATGCCCTCTTCTGGCCTCCATAGGCACCAGGTTTATGCCTGTAATCTCAATACTTGGGAGGCTGAGGCAGGAGGATTTGTTAAGAACTGGAGCCCAGCTTGGGCTACATATTGAGACCCTGTCTCTAAAACAAACAAAAACAAACAAAAAACCAAATCAAACAAACAAAAGGTATCAAAGGTCAAAGGTCATGTATATGTGGTTCCATGTTTATGATTTTCTTGAAGTATAAAGGCTGAGTTGGGTTGGGGACACAGTTCAATTACAGAAGAGTAAGGATCTGACTTGGGATCCTAGAACCCACATAAAGCTAAATACATTAGCAAGAATTGTAATCCCAGTTTTCCTGTGGTGCGATGGGGCCAGAGAGAGGGGAATCCCCAGAAGCCCAAGGGCCAGTCTGGCATATGCAGAAATGAACAACAGAGAGACCCTGTCTCAAACATGGTGGAAGGTAAGGACCAATACGCAAGGTTGTCCCTGGACCTCTATACACGAGCTGTGGCATGTATGCATTTATACACACACACATACACACACACACACACACACACACACACACACACACACACACACTCACATGCACACAGGAAGTTTGTAGACAGCTCAGTGGGTGGCATTTGTAGGATTTACTGGGAAAAGAGATAGGGATACCAAAAACACCACCAGAGAGCCCTGGGATGATGGTACACCGGTACAGCTTTGATATGGTGGTGTCTGCACAAAGAGGACAGCTGAGGTTTAGACATCCGGTGTCCTCTCAAGGACAGTGTGTGTGCTGGATAGTGTTATGCCAACTTGGAACAAGCTAGAGTCCTCTGGGAAGAAGGAATCTTAACTGAGAATATGCCTCCATAGTATTGGCCTGTAGGCAAAATTGTAGGATTTTTTTTTTTATTGATGATTGATGTGGGAGGGCTCAGCCTACTGTGAGTGGTGCCAACCCTAGACAGGTGGTCCCGAATGTTTAAGAAAGCAGGCTGAAAGAGTCATGAGGAGCAAGCCAATAAGCCGTATTCCTTCGAAACTTCTGCATCGGTTCCTACCTCCAGGTTCCTGCCTGCTTGAGTCCCTGCCCTAACTTCATTTGGTGTTGGGATGACCTGGCAGTTGCAAGATGAAATAAACCCTTTCCTCTCCAACTTGCTTTTGGTCATGGTGTTTTTATCACAGCAATAGAAACTCCAACTAAGCATGTTGAAGACTGGGTCAGCAGTGTGGTGCTATTGAAAGGTCATGGTGGGGCCTGGGAAGAGGTCTCTTCCTCACTGGGATATGCCACTGAAGAGGACCTGGACCCCTCCTGCTCTTCTCCACGTGAGGTTAGTGCCTTTGTTCTGTGGTGTGCTCCTGTGGTATGTGCTGCTGAAGGCCCCAAAGTAATGAAGCCCACTAGCTGAGGAACACAACATCTGAAAACATGAATTGAAGGAAATCTTTCTCTTTGTAAGGTTTTGTTTTTGTCTGTTTGTTTTTTAAAGATTTATTTACTTATTATGGATACAGTATTCTGCCTGCATGTATGCCTGCATGTCAGAAGAGGGCACTAGATCTCATTATAGATGGCTGTGAGCCACCATGCGGTTGCTGGGAATTGAACTCAGGACTTCAGGAAGAGCAGCCAATGCTCTTAACCTCTGAGCCATTGTTCCAGCCCCCTGTTTTTGTTTTTGTTTTTGTTTTGTTTTGTTGTTATTTTTGTTATTATTGAAGAAGGTCTCAAATGAGTCCTTCTTCCCATCCTCAGCAAACAGTCTAGAAAAGCCCTTTATACGTTCACGATAACCAGGGCAGAGATTTTTCTTTTTTCCTTTTTCAGATTTCAGACAGTAAGTAGTGGATCTAGCAAGCAAACCCTTTCTCAACAGGCAAGTACTCAACCACTGAGCTGCAACCCCAGAGCTGGATGTCTACTTTAATATGCCATTACCACTAACAATGGAAAAGATAAGTAAATCCACCCCATCTCCAAAAATGCAGACTCTGCCTAGTGCCAGCAGTTCAACCAGCATCTCAGGAATAGAACTCTGGACAGGTTTCTGCATAAAGCACAGAGCTCCACAAGAGGTTGGCTGTGGAGGTCTACACCATCGGTCCCAGTGCTCAGGAAGCAAAGGCAGAAATATCAGAAGTTGAGTGTCATCCTTAGCCACATAACGAGTTTAGGGCCAACCTGGGCTACATGAGACCTGTCTCAATCAATCAATTATTCAATCAGTCAATTGATCAGAACAACACGAGCAAGCAAGGGTAGGGTAGTCCTTACCACATCCAATACAGCATGAACACAAAAGTCCAGGTAGACAGTGGTGGCCTCAGCCCAGTTGTAAACTGGCCTGACATCCTTGTGATACTGCTGTAAGAGCTGCCTGGTGAGACGATGCAGAGAGGAAGCCTTCGGATGAGGTGTCGCGGTGCCTGGGACACCTAGAAAAGAAAGCTGTCACTGTGAAGACGAAGATAATGAGCTTCTTTAGGGAGCTGTAGACTGTCTGGGACATGGTGGCTTTTTGTGAGCTAGTCAGCTGACTCCAGTCTGTGTAAAATCACAGCCAGCTGGTGGGCTCTCTAGCAGACATTTATTTAACATAAGCTGCCAGCCCAAGTACCCTGTGGTGGCTAATCTTGGTTGTTGGTTTGAACTTACAACTGAGGAATTGCCTCTGCCAGACTGGCTTGTAAGCATGTCTGCGGGGGGTTGTCTTGACTATTAATTGATGCAGGAGGGTACAGTTCATTGTGTGGGGGGTGGGGGGTAGGGAGGGAACTAGGCCATATAAGAAAGGCAACTGATCCAGACCCTGGGAGCAAGCCAGTAAACAGTGTGCCTCCATGGTATCTGCTCCAGTTCCTGTCTTAAGTTCTTGCCTTGACTTTCCTTGATAGTGGACTGTAACCTGTAAGATGAACAAGCTGTTTTTGGTCATGGTGTTTATCACAGCGACAGGAAAACAACCCAGGACAAGCCCTCAAAAGAGACTGAATTGTAAAGATACATAAGGCAACTTCATCTTCAGGAATGCACACTGTACCAAGAGCTCCATTTCACACTGCTCCTGTAATGTGCTCTGCTGGTATGATGAAAAACTCACCCACACCCTTGGCCCAAACTTAACCCCCACGTTGGTTTGTGTATGTGAGTGTGGGCAGGTGCATGTACCCACATGGAGGGCACTGGGTGTCCCAATCTATCACTCTTTGACTTACTCTCCTGAGAGAAGATCTCCCACTGAGCATGGGGCCAGGCTAGCAACCAGCAAGCCCCTGGGATGCTCATTTTTTGTCCCCTACAGTGCTGAAGCATACACAGCCATGCCCAGCTTTTTTCATGGATACTGGGGATTCAAACTCAGGTCCTCATGCTTTTGAAACAAAACACTCTTACTCACTGAGCTACCTCCCCAGGCCTGTGTTTTATTTTTCCTTTCTTTCCTTTGATTTCCCATGTGTAATGGACAATCCATTGATCCCAGAGATCTGCATGGATTTCCACATAATGAAATTAATGAGAGTTCAATTCATGCTCTTTTGTTTCCATTGAAAAAAATCTATTTTCTCACACCATCTGTCTTTGAATAAAATGTGCTTGTCAGAAAATGAGATCTTTGCTTTGGGAAAATTCTCCCTGGTTTCAGGAAACAATCATTTCCTCTGATCCAGGCATCTTGATTTGTTAGAGGAGTCATGATTGGTGTCGAGGCAGGAGAAAGCAAACAAGAGAAACCAACACCAGGGATTGGAAGTGACAGATTTGTGAGGGCGCTCCCTGAATTGCAAAAAGATATTTTGTTCGGAAGCTTTGCCAACCCTTGGGGGACTTGAAGCTTCGATAAGTCATTGGACTGTGGCAAATTGCACACCTCCTGACACAGTGCAGAATGAAAGTGTCGCCAGTGTCCTTCGTCTGGATTGGCCCTGTTTTGATGAGCCCATTTAGGTCTGAGAAATCCAGTAGGAAACTGAATGACATCACTCCTCCTTGTGCAACAATCCTGTTTGGACCCCTTTCTTTATGAATGAGGTCGTGTCACCTGTCACCACAAGCAGCAATTTCTATGATTTGTCAATGTCGGGGGGGGGGGGGGGGGGGGGGAGGGGACCCAAAACGGCTAATGACGACGATGCTAGAGTTGTCATCCCAGGCTGGTAGCGGGCAGCGGAACATTTGCTTTCATTGCCGTCAGAACTGCGAACGTAATGAGCATTTTAACTCCCTGACTCTTCACCCATGGAGAAGCCTGGGATGGGATCAGCTATTTGTGCGTGCAGGACGAAGGTGGGTGGCTTGCACGGGACATCGTTTTTTTAAGGTTTGTGTGAATTGTTATTGTCAAAACATGCAGTGTGACTCTCTGTCTGAGAACATGTCTCACTGTTGTACCCCAGGGAGGGAAGTCGGGAATATCAAACCAGGCTGGTCCCATGATCTCCCTACAAAGTTTGCTTTGGGCAGCAGCTTTTTTTAGCCTCTCTTGGGAATTCCCAATTCAAGTCTCAGTTGGAGAAATCCTGAAATGGGCACGATTCAACCCAGGAAATCAAGATGGACTTAAAATACAATGCCGAAAGGTGAAGGTGCGTTCCTTGTACCCTCTGCTCATAAGAAGTCAAATCTTTCTCTGTCTCTGTCTCTCTCTCTCTCTGTCTCTGTCTCTGCTATCTTATCGAGGAAATAGTCCATAGATCTCCTGCGAATAGACCCATGCTTTCCACAATGTGTCAAAAGCCTAGGTAAAAAGAGAAAGTTTTGGAGGCTAGGACTAGGAACAAAGAGAAAAAGCAAAAGGAAATGGAAGTAAGCTTACATGTACGCAAGAAGAACAGAGTTCTGGCATGAGCTGGGAGGAAATAATAAATTGCATTTCAACTATGAATGCAAATTTGCCCAAGGAGAAAGATCAATTACAGGAGAGAGATTAAGGATTTAAGTGACCATTAATTAGCAGCAAATGATGCCCCCTTGAAAGCTAATGTGACATTCACACAGCACTAAATGACTCAAAGTTCAGGGCTGTTTCCATAGACACTGATGGAAGCTATCGTCGGGCTCAGGAGAGATTCCTGGTCAACCCTGCCTCCTCAGAGCCGGATAACCAGCTTCTGTTAAGTCACTTGTACTGTTTCTGAAGAGTAGAATGTGTTAGGGACTGAGCGATGAAGGATTTGGAAGGGAAGAGATTTAAAAAGACAGTAAGACTATGAAGGCAGGCGTGGTGGCTCAGGTCTGGAATCCCAGCCCTCGGAGACTGAGGTGGCGAATCACAAATCTGAGGCCAGCCTGGACTACATACTGAGTCCCTACTCAATAAATGAAAACAGAAAAGCGTTCTTTCTTTTTCACTTGTTCTTTTCTGTTTGTTTGTTTGTTTGTTTGTTTGGATTTGGGGTGTGCGTGTGCGTGTGTGTGTGTGTGTGTGTGTGTGTGTGTGTGTGTGTGTGTAAGATGGCACAATTACTACAGATTCAGTGAAGGTCTAGATGCCCAGGGCCATAGCTTACAAATTAAAGGCTGGAGCTGAAGCACAACTGGTCTGCATTCAGAGAACAACCTCGTAGGCATGACACTACAGTGACCTGGTTGTCTAAAACTATTAGGACCAGCAACTGAGTAAGCCATCAGAAGGAAAACCGATACACCCAGCACAGTGTCTATTACTGAGCAGAAGCAGCCAGGGGTGTTTTCGGAGCCTGCGCTTCCGGGTTGATAATGTCTTACATTTGTGTTGCACATTACACTTCCACATTCTGATCTTCATGAATACCCAAAATAAAAATCAACTTAAGGGTCTGAGGGTGAGGATCAGTGAATAGGGTTCTTGCCTAGCATACATGAAGGCCTGGGTCCCTCCCTCAGCACCATATACACAGGGAGAGATGATGCACAGCTGTAATCTGGAATTTGAGAGGTGGATGCAGGAGGATCAGAGTTGGGCGGTTAGTTACACAGTAAGTTTGAGGCTAGCCCAGCCTACCTAAGGCTCTGAAACACTGCCTAAAGAATGAATGGACTTATTTGGGTCTTGTGGCTAGTGACTAGTGAGGCTGGGGTGGACTCATCCCTAGCACACTCTCAGCACAAAGGAAAAAAATAAATCAGTTCTGCTATTTACAAGTTCACTTCGTATTACCTTAGCAAAATGTCAGATTTCTTTGGCACGAGCGCCCTCAGTGTGATTTATGAGGAGGCCTCGGTCATTAGACCCTGTTAAAACATTGTTCCTACCCCACTGAGAACCCAAATCAACATGAGTACAAAACATCAGAGGGAAAGCTGGTGAGAAAACTCTCCCAAGTTTTCTGGATGGCAGTTTTCTATTTTTCTTAGTTTCATGTTGATAGTTATTTTCTGCAAAGAAATCCACTTAGCATTAATGAAATTTCCTCTATTTTACTCTTAGAGTTAAGATAGGCTTTTATCTTTGACGTTAAATGTCCAGGACATCCATGGCTATTTTTCTTCTCTACCGAGTAGAAAAACCATTTCTGGTGTTTTCTTCCTTTCTCTGTAAATTCCCAGCTTTCTAGTTACCAAATTTCTTTCTTTCCTCTTCATAACTGACTCATCCCACTTCCAGTCATATTTTAAATTTTGAGAATCCAGACCCAAGTTCTAGGAGAACCCTTGAAGAGGTAAGGTATAAAGAGAAAAGAAAGTAGTGTGTTAGGAATCACCAACAGAAATAGAACTTTTCTCTCTCTTTTTAAGCACGGTTGGAGTGTAGGAAAAGACATTTTTAACAGATTGGTCCCGATAGTTGTTAATCTTCCTAGAACTGCAACCCTTTAATGCACTTCCTCATGTTGTGGTGACCCCCAACATAAAATTATTTTTGTTGCTACTTCATAACTGTAATTTTGCTACTGTTATGAATCGTAATATAACTATCTGATATGCAAGATGGTCTTAGGTGACCCCTGTGAAAGGGTTGTTTGACACCCCCCCCCAAAGGGGTCACAGCCCATGTGTTGAGAACCACTGGATTAGAGAATTGGATTTAAGAAAAAGAGAATGATACATACCCACGTGTAGGTATGGGCCAACCATAGATTCTTGATTTATATACTTTTTAAAAAATCAGTTGCATCCTAAGTAAAACAGTTTAATTCTGTATAGTTAATGTTACCATGGAAATATCATTTCATACATTAAAACACATATAATCTCTAAAGTATTTTAAGAGAAATCATATACTCAAAACTTGCATGTTTTTGCACCTGCCGTTCGAAATGTACTAGCCACGTCTACAGTCTCTGTAAAGCTAGATTTAAACACAGTGATATCAAAATGGTATACAGGAATCTACAGCTGAGACAAATCCATGGCACTCTTCCTCTGCTCTGCCAAAGGCTTATAATAATGCCAAGGCTATCGGGGATCCTAAAACACCTTATTCGTACATATCTGAAAGAGATTACCCCATACTTAATTGCCACAGTGAGCTGGATTTCCTCAGAAGTGAAGATTTTCCCACCAATCATAATGTTTTGGAATGAATTTTCACCTGTATAAAAAGCTCCAGTGCATGACGCTGTACAGGTATGTATGATTGTGTGTGTATGTATTAGGGGGGTGGGTGGGAGCGGGGGCGTGTCAGAAACATATCACCAGTCTCTGCAAATCTTCATAGGACTAGCATTAAACAGATTATGAATAAAAAAGAACGAACCTGAGATGTTCCCGCACAGTGTGGACACCACACTGTGAGAGCTAAGACACAATGCCCAGCCTAACCATTGACAGGACTTACCTACAGCAGCCACCAGGAGGCAGGACCACAGAAGAATCATTGCACTTTCCAATTGTTCTGGGGCAGGCACCAGAGAAGAGCAGTAACTACTGGGTGTGCTGCTGCTCAGTTTTGCATCACTCAGCACCCCTCCACCCTGTTCTTCTCCTTGCTTTCTTGTGGTAACCTTGGTGCTATTTTGTAAACATCCCACTGGACCAAGGCGTACAAGCACCACTTGGAGGTTTGGAGACTGATGCCTTCGTGAGCCCTACTAGCTTCTCCATTTGGCTCTGCCCTAGGATGATGGCCGACAGTCCATCTCCCTTACAGGAGACGGCTAAGTGAATAATGCAATATAAGAGGAGCCCCTGAGGAGAGGAAATTCCTTGCTAATATGATTTCCTTTACAGCCTTTACCTAAGGCAATGTTCTTGCTGGCGTTCAGGACCCTAATTTCATTAATAATTGAGGTCCAGATAGCTGTCTTAAATCAGACTCAGGCAGTAACGTCTCCAGTCTTTGGGAACAGTCACTGGGCTCTTGAGTTACAAGCAGCTAATGGGAACCTGGTATTGTCTAATGAACATCAACTATAAACAATACAGCGGAGAGAGTGCTTTTTGTTTCTGCTAGGCCCCTTTAATTAAGAGAAACATTGATTTTTGATAAATAGGAATGCTTTTTAAATTTTCACCAAGCACGGTCCACAAAGTAACTAAGATGCTTCTAGGCTTCTTGAAGATGAGAACTATTAATGTTTAACATCATTCGATAAAAGACTTTTTTAATGTCCCTTTTAAAAGATATTTTTATTTATTTATTTTGTATGCAGGGGTGGGGTGGGCATTGCTGCAGGGTACATGTAGGGGTCAGAGGACAACTTTTGGGAGTTAGTTCTCTCCTTCCACTGCATAGGTCCTAGGGATCCAACTTGGATCTGTCTCAAGGGAGGAAGTCATGGAGTGATAGAGCAGGCGTCCTCTGGCATCTACATACCTGTGCACACAAGTGTGCAGACATCATTTGCATATACTCAAACAAATAAATTTTTAAAAAAAGTCCTTGTCGGGCCCAGTGTAGCAGCTCACAATTATAACCCCAGCATTTGAGAGGAGGAGGCGGGACCAGGAGTTCAAGTCCAGCCTTAGCTATGCACCCAGTTTCTGGGCCAGCCTGAGCTAGATGAGACCTTGTCTCAAAAAATAAGAAATGAGACAAAGAAAGCAAACACCCCTGCCCCACTAACAAGCAGACTGCCATCTTTGCTGTGATATCCACACCTGAGCTAGTCCAAGGTGCAGTCAACTGGTTAAGAGTTGTGTCGGTGGGGGTGGGAGAAGAGGGCTGTCTCCACCATCCTTCTGGGCTTTGTCATACATGTGAAAACATTTCAGCAGAAAAGCAGAATTCAACCTGCTGGAGGTTAAATCTAGGAGGTTTGTTTTCCTTGGTTTTGTGTTTGAGAAGTACCTGTTACAGACGTTGGTACTCTGGGCTTCAAGAGATTAGCTCCCCTCCCTCCCCTCTTGTGCCAGTTCTAAGAATCCGCTTTTGCCTCTGAGGAGAATCTGAATGAGAGGGAGCACATCTGTGGGTAGCACCTCCCTTTGTGCAGAGGTTTGAACTGAGATGGTGATCCGCATGGTATCCTGCCACACGTTCTCGTGAGCCATGACTCTGTCGGACCCTTCTGGAACGTTCTTCCCTCCCTTTTCTTCGCGCTGTCTCATGTGCCCATCTGTTACTGCAAGGCCGTTGCTAATGATGTGTAATGTAGGCACATTATGACCTTCATTAGCTGATTTAATGGCAGTCTGGTGCTGCTACCTGGTACGGCTCTTGGCTGCTGCCTCCTGCCAGGAGTTTGTGTGAGCTCCGTGTCTTTAGGGGAGTGTGTGGCCACGTACTAGCTCAGCTCTCTTCTCCATGTCACCCTCCTACTAGGGTTTAGTTTATTTACTCAGTGGTTTTAGATTGCTATCATCTTACCGTATAGTTCCGGCTGGCTTGGAACTCATTATGTAGACCAAGCTGGCCTCCAGCTCACAGAGATCTGTTTGCCTCTGCCTCTGCCTTCTGAATGCTAAGGTAAAAAGTGTGCACAGCCACACCCAGCTCAACGTTTCATTTTTTTTTTGTGTGGAAATTGTCTCCTCTTACTCTCCTTAAAGCTCTCCCTTCGAAGCCACATAGCTTTTTACTACCAAGGGCTTTTATGAGTCCTCTTAGAACACTTCCTAGGAAGGATAAATACGGGCTTGAATTGCAGTGAGGTCTTTCAAGCAGATTCGGTAGATTTAATTTTTTTCCGGTTATTTTTATTTTCTGTGTATGAATGTCTTGCCTGTATGTATGTATGTATGTATGTATGTATGTATGTATGTACACTACAGGCATGCCTAGTGCCCACAGACGCCAGAAAAGGTGTTGCATCCCTGGAACTGGATGGTTGTAAACTACTTTGTTGGTACTGGGAATTGAACCTGGGTCCTCTGCAAGAACAACAGGTTCTCTTAACCACTGAGCCATCTCTCCATCCCCCCAAATCAGTATATTTATGATGCAAAGCTGGAGTCATGAGTGGCTAAACATCATGTTTCATGTGTGTTGTTGTAGACGAATTTCTAAATAGTCTTATTAAATAAAAAAACATGGAGCCAAATATAGGGGTGAAAGCCTTAGATCAGGGAAATAGGAAAAGCCACCAGCCAACCTTACCTCACCAACTCTGCAGCTTCCAAATGCGAGTTACTTCTTGTCTATCCACGCCTTTATTGCCTTGCTGTTCTGCCCTCTCATTGGCTATCTTAGCCCAGCTACCTCACTTCCTTTTCCTACGCAACTCTGTCACTTTTCTGTCTGTCTGTACAGACCTCCAGGTCTCTACGGTTGGTACTGGGATTAAAGGCGTGTGTCACCACACTTGGCTCTGTTCCCTAGTATGGCCTTGAACACACAGAAATCCTGCCTGCTAAGGGATTGAGGGCATGTGCTGCCTGACTTCTTGTTTGCTTAAAATGGCTGGCCTTTTCCCCTTGATCTCCAGGTAAGCTTTATTTATTAACACACAAATAAAATATCACCACATTTCAGCACAAATAAAATATCACCACGTATGTGTTGTGTGTGGTGTATGTGTGCATGGTGTGTTGTGTTGTGTGTGTGCTGTATGTATTGCATGTGTGTATTGTGATGTGTTGTGTGTATATTTTGTGTGGTGTGTGTGTGTGTGTCCGTACCTCCTGCCTCAGCCTCTGCTGATGTTACAGGCCTGTGCCACTGTGTTCTTCTCCGGATCCTCAGTTTTCGGGAATAACACCTGGGCAAAGTGAACCAAAATGTCCAGTGAGGTTTGTGTGTACCATTCTCTAACCGCAACTCAGGCCAGGCCCACCTTAAGAGAGTTGCTAGGAGAATATTTTTTTCAGAAGCCCCTCTCCACCACCCCAGAAAATCCAGTTCCATGCTCTTCCATTTCCAAGTAAGATGTGGCACCTTTTAGATGGACCAACGTCTTCTGGAAGAAGCAGGGGTAGAGGGCTTATTATGCAAACATAATAAGGAAGTGTTTATTATGCAAACGGCAACTGAGTTATGTGTCCTTTAAGACTACTAAATAGTTTTTAATTACTGCTATATCAGTAAATCCCATAAATATGCAAATGCAATTAGTTCACAAAATAGGCCTTAAATATCTTTATTCCTCTCCAACAAAGTTCTTTGAAGTTAATCGCTAACTCTCTTTGTTCAGTCCCTTGGCAGTTGTGCTCAAATTGACAGGAATTTTGACAGATGTACATATTCAAGGAGAACCAAGGTTCCTGAACACATCTGGTCAGGCTGGATGGAGGAGGAGAGCAGATCAATGCTCTAACCAAGTCAGTGTCCACTGAGTACACCCCCTCCGGCAGTTTGTTTTCTGAGCTGTTGCTTTGGGAGACAGAGTCTCAGCCTGTAGGCACTGACCTCATAGGGATCCTCCTGCTTCAGCGTCCCTGAGATTATAGACATGTACTACCTTTCCATTTGTGATTCGTTGACTTGTTCATTTTATTTTTGACAAGATCTTGTGGAGCTCAAGCTGGCCTGAGGATGGCATTGATCTTCTGGTCCTCTTGACTCTGTTTCCTGAGTGCTGAGATTACAGGTGTGCTGTGCCACATCTGTTTGTTTTTTGATGGTGCTGGTGACTGAACTAGTGATTTGTGTCTGCTAGGCAAGCACTCCACCAACTGACTTACCCCCAGCCTCCAGCCCATATGTACTTCTCATTACTCCAATGTAATAAATATCAACCCAAGTACTGAGGCAGCTCTTCCAATCCAAGCTCACACTCTGATTTCCCTTTAAATTGGGACTTGCATTTGATAATGCATATTTTCTGGTCATTAATTAATCAGTTAATTAACATGGGCAGTCATGATGGCTCGTGTGGATAGTCACAGTCCTTGGGATACTAATGCGGGAGATTAGAGTGAGTTCAAGGCCAACCTAGGCTACAGTGCCTCTTAGGACAATACCCACAGGCCAAATCAATATAGACAACCCCCTACTGAATTGAATCTCTCTTCCCAAGTGAAGCTAGATTATGTCAAGTTGAGAAGTGGAGCTAACCATCACACCATGGATATTGTGAAGGTGGTCTTGTTTGTCTCTGTGACTCCAGTACAGAGCTAGTGAATGCTTAGCAAATGTTCAGAAGGATGGAAGGAAGGAAGAGTGAACAAATGAACAGAAAGGATTTTTTTTTTTTTTTTTGGCTTACACAAGAAAGAGCATCCTTAGAGGGGTCCAGCTTTCTCAGGCCCACACTCAAGATGATATCTTTTTGCCACCATCTCCTAAAGCACAGTGAGGAGGATGGCTTGGATTTGAGCCAGACTGCTGCTATTTACTAGGCTCAGTAAGCAAGTAGTACACAGGGTAATAGGCGCAGGTGCAGGTGGATACTGCTTCTCTTGGGTCTCTGAGATTGCCCACAGTCCAAGATCTTGTAAGCCCTTGGGAGTAAGATAGACTCCACGACGCAGAAGGAACAGAGCCAAGTGTGGTAACTCA